CACGTCCCTAAACCCGGTCAACGCTTTGGTAAACTCGACAGTCTTTTTGACATTACGCTCAAAACGGGCGGTAATCTCGCCGTACGTCTGGTCAACGTTGGCCACAACACCCGTCACACGTTTAGCCGGGGGTTCGCTCATGAAATTAATGGCGTTCATGAGTTCAGTCAGTTTGAAACCCTCGAGTTCGCTGAAATTGTTACGATAGTCGGTTACGGGACGGGCGATGGGCAGTACAGCGAACTCCATCTCGACTGCCGTCTGGTATACATCATCATCGATGGCAGTCATACTGTACTCGCGTTTAACGACAACTGGTTTGATGTCGTTATCATCGCCACCGCTGTCGTAGGAGAAGCCGTAGGAATCGCTTCGCCGGAACCGATCAGTGCCGGTGACCATTAGGGCTGTGGTGGGCGGCGATTGGCCGCCGCTGTCTGAGGTCGAGAATATGCCCGAATCAGGCGACGAGTTGTGGCCGTTTCGGGCCTCCATCGCCGACTTCACGGTCTGTTCGCTGAGTTTGCGTTTTCGGCGGTTTTCCTCGATTTTTAGCCGAATTAATTGTTTCTCCTTTTCGTTTAGTATGGATTCCTATGGGAAACAAGTGGTCAACACATTAGACAATTCATTACAAACTTCTGATCCATATCTTGTAATCTCTCTCTCTCTCTCTCTCTCTCTCTCTCTCAGTATGCATACCTTTTTCATGCCCTGAGAGTAGCATTTCTTGAGCCGACATTTCTGGCAGAACTTTCGGGTCACGGAATTTATTTTGCAATTGTTATCAAACGGACACTTGAACTCCTAGTTAAATATCATTGAGTTATTACCATGTATTCACTTATAAGTTGCTAATTATATTTAACATACCTTATTTTTGACGGCAGTTCGCCTGAAGAATGCCTTACATGACTCACAGGTGACCGCACCAAAGTTTGTACCTGGGTAATTATAATCATCATGGGTAATTAGAATTACTATGTGTTTGGCGCTAGTTTAAGTAATTGATCATTTATTTTACAAATAAAACTAAATATAGTAAAACTCATTTGTTATAATGATCTAAAAAATTACGTTATTTAATAGTTAAGTCTCTAATGCAAGGAAATGTGTATTTTATTTATTTAACTATTAATTTTTAACTATAATTTACAGCTAACTTAATGTATTGACGTGTTTTTCAGTGAGTATATTATAAACATTATATTATAATTAATTAATGTACTATAATTGTTTAGCCCGTAATTAACACCAGTACATCATACCATGTATACTAAACTGTACATTATAGTGTAATAATACAGGTACTAAATTAATAGTAGTGTAGTATACAATACATATAGTGTACTAATACAGTATTATTACGTACAGTGTAATGTCGAAATAGAAAACACCCAGTACGAATAAACATGTGTGCTATAATGAATTGGAAACTAACGCACCGGGATATGTTCAACGACTTTTACAAACAATTTAGACTAAAACTCAAGGTCTTTTTAATTTAAAGGGAAGCCATAAGTTCAATGAGGGTCATCATTATTTTTTTAAAAAATGATAGTGATTTATTGCGCTCAGCTAGAATATTAACACTAAACTACCTATCGCATATTAATTAAATAATTTTTAGTTACTTAACTACAGTATAATAATTTTAGCTAATCTTATTCTGATCACCTTGGTAATATACCGGGTGCCGCGACTAGACAATTAATAACCTTAATTTATATCTAATTAACCCTAAAATAAACATTAAGGTTATTATAACAAAGAAAGAACAAGTGTTGAAATACAAGCGAGTATTATATGATTAAAGCAAACAATCAAAATGATAAATTACATACCGATAGCTCTGTCACCGCAAACACAGCAAGTTTTGTTGATTTTGCGATCCATTATAAACACCTTATCAGTCAACATATGATAAACGATCACGATTCAATTTACAGTATATTAATGAAATGTTACAATTAACTATGTTAAATATGATTGCCACCAATTATTGCCCCGATTCTTGTACTTTAATATACTTTTAATGGCAGTAATAAATGCGCTGAAAAAATAAGTGACAAAAACAGACTTCAATCGATTAATAAATAATTGCTTTTCTTAATATAAATATGCAAATTAATGCACTGTTTTTTATAATTATAATAACAGTGCAGTTTATACTGGTATACTATTATTACCACGATTAAATGTATAATCAATATAAGTTACTAGATAAGTACATACACATACAAAATACTGTAGATATACGTACGATATATTCACAATCACACACTATATCAGTTATTCTATGAAGGCTTTTTCATTAAGGTAGAAATAAAGTACTATACAGTGTATACTCGGTTTTCACCAGTTTTTCACTTCACGAATAGTCACAAAATATTTTATTTAATAAACAACAAATGTATTCACGAATCGATTCTTGTCGTCAATAGATATGTAAATCTATATCTCTTTATGAATGTTATATACAAGCGATGTATGTAATATCGACGGCAATATATATGTGGTGTATATGTTATATATAGCGCCACTACAACGAGACACTCAAATCTTTGAGCGCAGGTATTGAAACATCTCATAGAAATGCATTATATGTTTGGCAATAATATTGTTAATTCAGTTTCAGTAC